TCACTTATGCTAGTTCTGGAGAATAGTAGAAGGAATAATAACATGACAAAAGAAAGCAATTTGCCAAAACCCCCCAAGATGGCTAAATGATTGATGTCCACTCAAAGCTAAGCCAAAGTGCAGTCTTTTTGAATTCTGAGATCCAGCTCCAAAACCAAATACTGAAAACAGCCTCAATAATAGTAGACTACAGCAGACAGAGAATAAAAAAACAATTAGAAGGGATGGTATGGTTCTAAATGGGTCTGTGCATTTCCTCTATCATTAGAGGTTATAAGGAATAATCAAAGAAGATTCTGGCAGTCCTTCGACAGGGATTGTTATCTTCTCTACTTCAATTCTAAATTGGAGGACATGACGGCTACACTTGATCTGATATCTTCAGTAATGAAAATAGAACATCCTCTCAATCTGAAGAGTATCTATAAGATAAATCAGAGCAACCATATAATTTTAAAAGCATAAGAGTCATCATGTTCAGGTGGCATACCCAAGAACTCTGAAAGCGCTTATAAATGAAGTGGTTAGGCTGCTAGCAAAAACATGCAGCTCTTGTGCGAGACCTGAAGGGTCAAAACAGTGCACCTTCCCTTTCTCTCTCAAGGAAATCAGTTTAGCTGCTTAGTGGTCCAGACACACAAAAGGTGGCATCTTCACTGCTGAGTACCCATTGTGTTGTGATACCAGCAAGTGTCAGTGACAAACCATTTACCTGCAGTGATTGTTCTCCTACGGCACTTACACGGGAAATCCCAACTGCAAATAGGGTCTTTCCAAATTAGATCATATGGAAGTGTCACAGCATCCCTACAGACTGGTATTCATAAGCCATCATAGAGCGATGCTTGGAGGGCATTTCCTAAAAGTGAATTTGATATCTTTGGCCTTTCTATCTGGGAAAGATGCCAGGCACTTTTCCCAGAAAAATAATTTAGTTAGATATTACATATTTTTTATTCTTCCTTACTTAACTTTAAAGGTGTTTCAAACTCAAGAGCTGATTTGCTAAACAACTTATAGAGAAATCTCTGAAAGAACCATATTAACTTCAAAATATGTGAAGAACTACGGTGGACTCTGTATTGGATGACACAAATTCAAATTATTTCTTTTAAGTTTGAGCAGACTAAACATCTTCTTGATACTTAGCTGTTGATTTAGTTATTTTCTTCAACTTCTCTACACAGTTTCTGAAACAATTATTCATAAACTTCCAGTTCACTTGTACAGCTAATTTGTATTTCTGTAATCAAAACTCATTTATTTTCAAGAGTAAATGCTGGATTCACTATACAAATAGTTTAGGAGTCTCAGTATATGATCAAGTTCATGAAACTCATATGGCCTTGAAAGCATGAATATAACATATAAAGCCAAGACTGTAAGTGTACACACTCCTATACATACAAAATCAGATAGATTCTTTACCTACACAGAGATGAATAGATGGATGGGCAGATAATTATATTAGTTTCAGATGTAACATTATTGCCTTCAATGACATTTTCTTCCAAGACTTTAAAACCAGGCCCTAAAGGAATGGTAAAGTCCCTGTAAAGTTAATCACAAAACCCAGTTTGGTATAATTCACATGCTATCAATGTTTTTTCAAACTGCAAGGAAGACAACTAATCCAGAACCTCATTTTACCAGTACCTCAATACATCTTTACACAGTGTGATCACATTCGAAAAACTGACACCACTTCATGAAGTTGATTATAATAATCCTCCCCAAATTGGACAAGATCTCAAAATTAAATTGACTATTTAAGTAACCACTGTTGGTATTACATTCATTTGACAAAGCAGCAGTGATTGACACCAGATAAATGTGGCTGCAGTCTTCAGTCTTTATGAGACCACGTAACATCAGCGAGACTTGGCCTTGGCCTGCACACAGCCCAGAGGTGCAGAGCAGACCCTGTTTTTGACCTGCTGGAGGCTCATTCACAGGACCTGAGAACTGCAGTGCTCTTCCAGGAGGCTCCTTCATGCTTGGGTTGAAATATTACATCCTGCTGAGCACTCCGTTTTAAACTGCTTCAGTTGTCCAGCCAGCACACCAGAGACCTAGACGAAGGCATGAGCTCCAAATGTAATCATAGTAAACCACTAAAGGCTTAATTTTAATTTCTGAATCAGATCTTCTCTTGATCGTAATATGTGCTAGAGACATGTGAACACTTAGTCAAGGATGAGATAATTTTACAAGGGAGAAGTAAGACAAGAAGAAGGAAAGAGGAGGGAGAAGTAAACTGATTTTGCTTTCTTATATAAATCTCTTTTTTCTCTTCTTGGAGAGAGAGATATTTTAAATACAAGTGACTGCATTTAAAAAAAAACATACAGTATCAAGACATTACATACATTGCAATATGTTTTATGTATATTCTCTGGACAAGTTTATTTTTTCACAGAAGGAACAAGCTTGCAAATCTTCTGGAGTCAAAAGAGACTGTTTTACCCATTCCATCAGTATTTTCTTCCATTATTTTGCTCAGAACCTTCCTGTTCTATCCTGAGTAAGATAAATTTAAGAAATAGCTACAGGTCTTAAAATCAAAGTTTACAGCATTTTCAACTAACTGCATACACTAATTTTCACACAGTGTTGTGTTTTCCCCTGTGTCTGTTTTTCCTCCCTCTCCTATAAGCTTACACTTCACTCCATCATGCCCAATATAGGAATAAAAGCAGGGCAATGCTTCTATTCCTGTCTTTGCCACTGACTCACTCTATAGTTTCCTCAGAATTTGCATTTTCCACTTGGATCCTCTGGTATCTAAGAAGAATGTGTCTGTTGATGTTTTCTTTGTGGTAAGAGCCTTCATAATGTCTCCCTCTGTGCAGATTCTCTTGTGTTTGGTAAGGGTTGAGTCTACACTGCAGCCTTCCTATCAATGAGATTATTAGTTGGGGTTCTGGCTTCTACCCAGATGCCAACTTTAATTACAACTATAGGAAATTAATTTCTTAAGGTATCTACCTCTCAGTGAGATTTTACTTCAGCCAACAGACACAAAATTTTGAGGTAGGACACTCACAGACATGCGCACAAAATAGCATCAATACATACACTTTCCCTTATAATGCACAATAAAGAGGAGCCAGAGATACTAGTAGAGCATAATGATATCCTAGGAACTGGAGATACACAGAGACACTGCAAACAGTTGCTTTAATATGGATAATGCTAGCTACCTTCCACCACAGAGCCCTGCAGCGCTACTATCTGCTGAATATGCAAAAGCATAGCTCCTTCCTGTCCAGTGCTGTAATGCCTTAGGTCCATTTAGTGTCCCATTTAAAATCCTTCACAAATATATTCTGTTCTTCAGGGTCATTACATTGATTGTTAAATAAAAATAAATGTTTTAAGTCAAATTAGCAAGTGTGTAGATAATTCTTACAAACTAAAGTTTAGTCCTTAGTATTGGAATGAACATCAGAGATCTATTGTGGTTTGCAGATATTGGCAAAATCCATGTACGTAGAATTACGGTTGGTTCCAAATAAGACAAGATGTGGAGCTGGCTCTTATCTTAGAGCCTATGTTATTTTTACAGCTACTGCTGTTTAAACAAAGTACATATTTCATTAGAGAAGATTCTAGATCAATTGTTTGAATTATGATTTCATCTTAGAAACACATTAACTAGAAATGTATTCCAATTTTCAATGTCATAGCAGGAATAAAACAGTGGGCTACATTATGGAGGCTGTGGTCTCAAAGGCACAAAGAAATTAGAATCTTAAAAACATGACCAAATGTTAACACTCTGTTATGACTGGTACAATCCAGCTAGTTTAGCTTAAATGCGCTGATTTTTTACAGGCAAAGCTGCCAGCTTTGCTGTTCAAAATTTGTTTAAAAAATTTCCACTCTGTATCCTAATTACCAAGAATAACAGAACAGTAAATGGAAATCAGACACTTATTGGCTTGAAAATTATTTGTATTGGCACTAGTGACTGGAATAGTTTTAATTAAGAGACTAAGAGAAAATAAAAAAAAACTCATTTAAAAATAAATACCTATTTCCCATATTAATTAATTATATTTATTGATAATTTCTATTCACATCCCAATCTCTTTTTTTCTTTTTCTCGTGACAGGATTACTGTATAAATTCTTTTAAAATAAAGGATTATACTCTATTTGCATTAGGATACTTTATTGAAAGCAGGATGTAAATATATGAAAGACATCTCTAAGACAACGTGCATATTATTATAACAGCAAATGAAAGATCTGTTAAAATACATCAGAAAACACCTTTGGCTGAAAAAATAGAGGCAGCTTTTGAGTATCGTGCCTGAGGAAATGCACAAACAACTTTCTGATCTTAGGTTTCTGTGGTTTTGGTTTCTTTACATAATATTTCAAAACAAAAAATAAATAGCGCAATGCTGTTTAGCTGAAAACACAGGTTCTGACACCTAGATGGCATTCTCAATGTACATAATCCGACGCAAAGTGCTATCCTGCCCTTTAACAAACCTGAAATGTCATCGTGATCTCCAAAAGGAGACATTTAGAAAGCTCCAGGTCCTCCCTCACCCCTGACACTTCGGCAAGTACACATTGAGGACTGGAAAAGGGCTCTTCCCAGGACAATTTTGTGGGGAAATCTCCCTCCGTGCGGTTCGGAAGGGCACTCTATCCCAAGACCTTCGCCGTCATTCCCGGTCGGCGCCCCGCTCCCTCCGGCGGCGCGGGGGCCGCATCTCGCCCGCGGGCGGCACCCGGAGCTGCCGCTGCTCCGTCCCGGCGCTGCGGTCCCCGGTCCCCCCGCTCCGCTCCGCCGTCGAGGGGCCGCCGCCACCCGGTCCCGCCGCGGGACAGCCCCTCCATCCCTTCCTCCCTCCCTTCGTGCCTCGGGAGCAGCGGAGGCGAGGAGGCGACACGCGGGCGGCCCCGGCAGCCAGAGCGGTGAGTACCCCCGGGACAGCCCGACCCCCCGCGGGGGACAAAGAGGCGGGCGGGGGCGGCGGGCGGAGATGCCCCCGCGGGAGGCCGCTCCCACAGCCGGTCCCTCGGGCGGCGTCCCGCTGGCAAGAGCGGCCGGGGGTCCCGGGGCGGCGAGGCCGACCCTTCCTCCGGGGTAGCAGTGCCGGCGCTACTCCGCAGGTGGAGAGGGGGCAGCAGGGGAAGAGCCCCTGATGGGGGGCTCGGCGGCGGGGGATGGCCCGCGGGTGCTGCGGGCCCTCACCGGGTGCCTGCTGGGCTCCCTGGTGCTGAGCACGCTGGTGGGCAATGCTCTGGTGTGCCTGGCTGTCCTGCGCTTCCGTCACCTGCGTGCCAAGGTCACCAACTGGTTCGTGCTGTCACTGGCCATCTCGGACCTCTGCGTAGCCCTCCTGGTGATGCCCTGGAAGGCGATCACTGAGGTGACTGGAGGCTCCTGGCTCTTCGGCAACCGCTTTTGTGACACCTGGGTGGCTTTTGACATCATGTGCTCCACCGCCTCCATCCTCCACCTCTGCATCATCAGCCTGGACCGCTACTGGGCCATCGCCAGCCCCTTTCGCTATGAGCGCAAGATGACGCAGCGCCTTGCCTGTGCTATGATAGCCATGGCCTGGACCCTCTCCATCCTCATCTCCTTCATCCCAGTGCAGCTGCACTGGCATAAAGCCAAGGACAGTGGATATCCAGGTTCCTGGCTGCCTGGGACACCCCGATGTGATGTCAGATTGAATCGCACTTACGCCATTACGTCCTCCCTTATTAGCTTCTACATCCCCGTGGCCGTAATGATCATCACCTATACCAGGATCTACCGAATTGCCCAGGCCCAGATCCGCCGTATCTCCACCCTTGAGAGAGCAGGGGGGCAGTGGCCAGCTCACAGCAAGGAGCCCACCTCCTCTTTGCGGAATTCCTTGCACAAAGAGACCAAGGTGCTGCAGACTCTGTCTATCATAATGGGAGTCTTTGTTTGCTGCTGGCTGCCCTTCTTCCTGCTCAACTGTCTGCTGCCTTTCTGTCAGCCCACGCTCCAGAAAGACCATGAAGGACAGTCATCCTGTGTTAGCCAAACCACCTTCAACATCTTTGTGTGGTTTGGCTGGGCCAACTCTTCGTTGAATCCAGTGATCTATGCTTTCAACGCAGATTTCAGGAGGGCTTTCAGCAACCTCTTGGGCTGCTGGTGCTTCTGTTGTGGCACACCCAAATCCACTGTGGAGCGAGTCAACTTCAGCAATGAACTGGTTTCCTATCATCATGACACCACCTGCCAGAAGGAAAGAGCTGCTTCGCTGTCAGTACCTCCTGCTGCTGTCACCGCCTGGGTGCAGCCCATTCCCCAAGCTGTAAGCCTTCAGGGAGAGGACAGCAGTGAGATGCCTGTGGAGAACAGACTTGAGACGTCTCCGACACAGGCTGCCCCTGGGATCAGCCCCAAGAATTGTCAGGTGCCAGCTATTTTGCAACTGGATTGCAAAACAGAGCTATCCCCGGAAACTGTTGCCCCCTGTACAGGACTTGGTCAGTGTGAGGGACCCCATTGCCTTGTTTCAGAGGGATAAGTGATTGCATGCTTCTCACACACACAGCCACCCCACAGAGAGAGATCACTCTGCCTCCATGTAAGCTACACCTGTACCCCAGCAAAAAATCCCATTCCAGAGGGATGGGAAAAACCACAGAGGGGTGATGTGCATTTGAAATCCATTCCAAAGGCATATAGCAGACAGATATTAACTTTTTTCCATGGCCACCATCACCCTTTACTGTCACAGTCAGTAGACATCTCCCATGCATTTGTTCACCCCCAGTCTCCAATCAAACTTGAGATATTTGTTAAGAATAGTGAGATAATCAGATCAAACTGAAAATATCTCATAGTTTGAGACTCTATAATACAATCTTATGTAGATAAGTTAATCTCAGATTTTTCTTCATTGCTAAGACCTTTCCTCCCCCTCATGTTTTCATACATGTTCATAAACCTGCTCTTAAATGTTTGTGGTTTTATTTCTGTGATTATTTCAAAGCCATGTGTCTGGATTTACACATCTGAATCTGTGTTTAGGCTCTTAAATAAAAATTGATCTGTTAAAACATTGCTATCTGATGTTGAATCAAAAGACTGTACAAAACCCTGGAAAATTGAGATTTTTTTATGTAGGACACCCCAAACAGTTTCAGGTGTCTAACTTTGGCATCCAGTCTTAATGAAATTGAGCTAGGGCCTTCCTCATCCCCAAATGTTAGAAATATGTTATTGTATTAGGCTGAAGCTATGTAAGGATGGTGTTTGAGAACTAACACTACAACTCCAGAGAGATTTAAGCTGCTATCAGTTGATGCAGCAGCAATCCTTGCTTTGTCCTACTACTTTAGGCAGCTAATCCTTCCCGAAAGCAAGCTGGCCCACAAAATTAAAAGTGACCAGGTCATCTCTCTGAACCCATTTAACTACTTACAGATATGAAGAGCAATAAAAGGCAGAGCAAATGGGTGTTGGATGGCTTGCAGGATAGAAAATACTGGGGGAACTTTATGGTCATTTCTGTCTGTGTAAAAGGGTTCAGCAGACATTAGTGGCACCTCACTGTCCTCTGCTTCTTTATCCACTACTTAAGAGTTCTGCTACTGATCATTTAACACTGTGCTCTGCTAACCACCATCATTGCCCCATTTCTTCTGTCCCTCACCTGTGATTGACTGACCTTGTTTTATCTAAGGAAGATGATGAAGATGGAACTGTCCAGAAAGAGACAACAAGAGTGCTTACATTGCAAGAGTTTTCTTAGACATTCAGTATCAGAGATGGCATAGCTGATATCTTTCAGAAGAGTGATCCATGCATTTCCCCCATCATTCATTCTTATGGGAAAATGTGCTTTTGCTATCCTGCTCTTTTCCAGAATATGTCTTTAAGGAATAGCTGGGTGTGACTGTGATCTGTTCTTCACGGCCAACTCTGCCAGGACAAGAGGTAATGGGCTTAACTGTAAGAAAGACCAAGGCAAGACTTTAGAAAAACTTCCTAAGAATAAGGATAATTAAGCACTGGAGTAGATTGACTAGGAAGTTATGGCATCTCTGTCAGTAAAAGTCTTCAAGATGGCATTGTAATCATCTGTCAGATATGACAGTGACATTGTTAATCCTGTCTTGGGGCAGAGATGTAGTGTAATGGTCTCTTTAGATAATTTCTGGTCCTGCTTCACTACGACAACATATCTCCTTCAGAAGCTTTGAGCTTAAGACGCTTGATTTTTTTTTTTGCATGCAACGATTCTTGGATATTTTCTCAAAGGTAAAAAAGCGTACAGATGAGAACTTTGAGATGCCACTGGTATATTTCCTTTCTCTTAGCAATTACCCATTTTCCTTAGCATTTGCCAACTGTCATTCAGCATGCCCAGTGTCTCATTTGGAGAGCAATAAACCTAGTATTTCCTTAAAAAATATTTTGATTCCCTTTGATTACATTCTAGGTGATCACATGTACATGGATTCAGATGTTAAAGATTCAATGAATTTGTGAGAGGATTTTCCTTGATACCTTTGATACCTTGATACCTTTCTTTCTTCTTATATGAACCAGAAACACAAATTTTAAGAATGTCAGAATCTTTTATCTCCTTCAAAATAAATTCCAAAAATATATCTTCATGGTCTGAGACATCTCATCTAACCCTCTCCACACTAAAAGCCATCTTGCGGATATACTGACACACCTGGCGAGATACTACCCTGGAGTGTGACTCCCCCATTGCCTGTTACACTTCTGGTTCTGTTGCAAGAGCTTCAGCGGGCTCCATCCCTTAGAGAGTTCTGTCCCTGCCCCACACATCTCCCATCTCATGGGCAGGCAATCTTCTGGCAGTCAAGGCCACACATGAAATTATTATTCACAGGAGATTTTAAAATTATTTTTTTTACTATGTGTACAGTCTCATTATTAGTGATAAAAGATGTTAAGTAATGAAAAGGAAAGATTTACCTTCTCACAAGGTTTGCCATGCCTATGGGGGCTGTCTTGCCCAGGAATTAGGCTGGACTACTATATAGAGTGATGATGAAAACATTGTAGGGCAGAGTGGGCAGCAGAAATTAAGCAATGGATATATTTGAATATATATTTTCTCTTAAGAACAATCAGAAATGCATAGTAGCTTTGATTTATGAAACTATATTTGTATTAAGAATGGAAAAAGCTATTTGTATCAGTGCTTGTGGCAATAGTTTAAATAAGGTTTATTAATAGGTCAGATTGGGCCTGAAGGAAAACTGCTGGTCTTTACTGAAGCTTTTTTAAAGTGACAATTTAAAATTGCTCTTTGTGAGCGATGCTGGAAATAATTATTTGCAGCTAATTGATAATGGTCATTACTGATGTGCAGATGATACACACTACAATAGTTTGCAGCTGTAAAGTCTATTGTAGTAAGTGCAGTGTAATGTTCAAGGCTGCAATTAATTGCAGAAATTGTGCATTATAAACTCTTCATTTGCATTTTAAATGGCGTATTAGTGAATGTCCTTCATATGAGAGCTACACCACATAGCCATTCAGACTACATCTGCTATTGCTGATTTAATAACATATAAATATTGATACTTTGTGTATTTTTATTTTCCTAGACTGGAAAGGCTCTTGAATGTTAAGCATACTACAGACCACCCACTTCTGTGAATAGCAAATGAGAAAAATTTATTTTCCCCAATAATTTTTTTAATGATTAACTGTGATTTCTAATTGACTTTTTTCTCATGACAGGGCAAGCTGCTGTGTTAGATTGCACAAGATTCAATTAGCATTGTTAAGTTCAAGTGTGATGAAAGATATTAAAGTTATTTAAAAAGCCAAGGTTTACTTCATCAGAAATTAAGACATGAAATTATTTCATATTTACACCACTGCAGCCACTCAAAAGAAATATCTTTCAAAGCAAAACTTGGCAGCACTTTGTTACCTATGAATCACAAATGGCAAAGGTATTATTTTAGGGAGATATGTGGCTATTCCTCAAACACTGTTTTTATAACTCAGGTCATCAAATCTACTTGTCTCTTTATAGATTCACCACAGTATATGTAAGGTATTTCGCTGACTAAAAGCAGTTTACTTTGATGCCTAACAGTACCACCTTTACAATACCATTAACATCATAGTGTTCTAAAAAATAGCTTCTAAATAGCCCTGATATCAAAACAGTGCAACCTCACAAACACTTTATCAAAACCCTCTTATTAGCCAGTGCCTAAACCTCTGAATCTAAATACAGTTCAGTTCAGCAAAGTACAAGTGGTAGGGCTTGGCACTGTATGCCAAATGCCTTCTCTGTTCAAATAATTCCCAACCCCTTTCCTTCTGTCAGTCTGTGAAGTTCTCAACCAGATACAGGTCCTGTTATTTTATTACACAACTGAGTTGAATACAAAATTCTTGTGATCAGTTACAAGCTTAAGTAGCTGAGCTGCCAAAGCAGCCCTTCTCTCTATTACATCACACATGAAAAATAGGGATAATGTCTCTGTAGCCTTCTTAAGTAGCTGTAGAGATCCTTGTCCAGCTGAGAGCTTTTCCCTGCTGTCAAGTTGCTCAGAAATTTTTTATTGGGTTTCAAGGTTAAGCATAAATGGAGACAGGCACACGTGCTCATCTTTTAGACAACTGGACTAGAATATAAACAGCATTCTTCAAGGCAGAGAAAACAAACCTCAAGGCAGGGCTGTCTGGAGCTAGAAATACATCAGGGAAAGGACAAGAACTCCTTCCTGTTGAAAGAACAAGGCTGATCACACCCCCCTGTATGGCAGAGGTGCCAGCACCTCTGTAGTAGGAGGCAGTAGCAGGACAGCACAGATGTACTCAAACACACATCGATGCAAAGCTTCACCTTGTTTCCTAAGTGATATTTAAAAAATATTAACTGCAACACGCATGCATTCTTGACATTATGCTTAGGGTTTTGTGTTCTGCTGTTTATTGCCTGTCATGTTATTTATACAGGGCTTTATTTTGCCTTACAGACATGATTTCAGAGATCACCATTGACTTGAACAGGAATCTTGTTTCAGCTACAGCACTGCTTCTACACATATCAGTTCCAGGAATGAGAAGGGACTAAAAAAGCATGTGTGACTTGTCATAAGAAAATATAAAACCTTTGGACAATTCTGCAATTCAAACCACAGCAACAGAAAAATGCATTCTTAAAGAAACTCCCTATCAGCAAAATCCTAATAAACAAAACCTAACAAGACTAGATTTTCTCCCAGTGTTCCCCTCCTCTTATACTGGAAATTTGCCCACGTATTCTGCCCGCAGAGAAAATTTCTCACCTTCCCTGTGTTCTTTCTCCTTCACAAATTCACACAGACATGCAGATATTGCAGAGGGATATTAGTGCTTTTATATTGCAAAGTATACTTCCAAGGCATCAGAGGAAATAATCTTTTTACAAAGTTAGTCTTCCCTCCTCCCATTATATCTTGCTAAATTGCTGCAATTTGTTTGGCTGAGTTGAATATAAACTAAATAACACCGTGTCCTTATAAACTACATCTGAATACATGTACAAATGGAAAACTAATTAAGTAGTTCTGATCTACCATTACATATAGTTTTTATGATAAATTAAAAAAAACCCAAAACAATCAAACAAAAAGAAACCCAAAAAAACCCAAACAAACCAACCAAAAAACCACCCTCATCCACATAGTTATAGATATGTGCAACTTTAGCAAATTCTGAATGCAGTGGAAATATCAATGTAATGTAAAACTAGATCATACCTCAATTGTGTGTATGTACAAATGTATCATACCTCAATTTTTTTCCTTATGCCTCTGATACTTAGCTGGTACCTTAACACTTC